TAATGCTCTGGCTAGCAGCACCTGTGATTTTTGACCTTTAAAACCTTTTGTAGCTTTGGGCTACCATGTGAGAAGGAATGCCTCTTAAGAGAAGTGCCCAATCAACTTCTAGAATCAGAGCTATCCTTCCTCAGGAACAGGCTTCTTCTGTGGCAGTCTCCCAACTCTGGAATGTCTCAACTGTAGAGAGCCACCAAATACCTACTGTGTAGGATTATTTCAGTTTAGATTTTAAAAGTAAAATTTAGAATAAACTATCACCCAGATGGGTTTATTTTTTCAGCCCTCTGGAGATATTTATCACATTTCATGTATAATTTCTGAAACATCAATTAACATGTTAGTCATTGCAACAAAATGAAACTTGCAGCAATTTTAAGACTAAGAGATTTATTATAGCATCAAATTTCCTCATTACGTGCTATAGTAACAAAGGAAAATAGAGATGCCTTCTAGTCAAGCTTAACTCCTTGTCTCTACGTGGATATATAGATGAAATTTCCTTGGCACAAATACAATTTTTTTCTTCCAGGACCTTGAGTTTTTTTTAAAAAAATTTCCAATATGCCTATAGGCTTAGGATCCTTTGGGATTCTCCCATTAAAGTATTAACCAGACCCAAACCTGTTTAGTTTCTGAACCCAAACAAGATGAGCCAGTTGCTCCCACCTGCTGAAATCTATCACAACGAAAGCCTTTGTTTTTGAGATGCTATAGGAATCTTTATTGCTTTTTATAACTGCCACCAAGTATGCCAACTACTTGAACCCTATATGAAATCCTAAATCAATAGCTATTGCAACTACAAGCATTTCAGATAAATAGTCCACTATTGCATTGTATCACTTTCTTGAGCCACTGGGGCCCAAAGAGCACCAAAACCAAACACAAATCTAGCACTGCAAATCTCTAATTGGCATTTGGGATGTTTTATGTGGATTACTAAGACTCTGCTGCCTTTCTTGTAAAAAGGAGAGAATTTGAAAGGCTTGATATAAGTTGAATTATAGAATTTACTATATTTAATTCTAATTAAAGTCTCGGTCCTTGAAATTTTATCAAGGCCCATGCTATTTTTTTAGACATTTAATTAATGCTTTAGAGGTTAAAACAAAGCCTTTGGAGTCAGAACGGCTCTAGAGAAAGGTTGATAGTATGATTGCAACATGTGCTGAAGAACTTTAAATAACAGATTTAATTGACATATTAATGTGGACCTACCAGCCAAATGTTCAGTTCTGCATGTGTCATACCTTGATTCTCTATGACTTTAATAATAAAAGCTTATTATCCAAACCATAAATGGTCACAATTCATGTATTAGATCTCCACATAAATCTTTGAAGCACAAAAGTTCATATTACAGTCTCAATTATATGTATTCAAACATTCTCAAACTATTTACTGGAAGTACAATGAATCAATTTGCATGAAGCATAGGAGGTTCTGCCAATGGACCTGGGGACAACCCCTCCCAGGGATATGGAACCCATCAAGTGGCTGGTCTGATTGTTATTACCAGGATATGGGGATGTATTGTTTTTTT